ATTAAGGCGCGAACACACGGTGCAACATTGCGCGCAGCATTGCAGGCAATGTTGCTGAAGTAGGATAGTTTTCTACTTCAGCAACGTTGCGTGCAACRAATTGCGTCGTGTGTCATGGCTCGCAACATRAATGGCATGCAATATTGCGCGCAATGTTGCRCMGTGTGTYCGTAGCTTTATCGTCTCGATTTTGATGCATATTTCAGGTTACTTCGGGCAAAAGAAGCTCTATCGCAGCAGAATGCAGAGTGTGCCAGGATCAAACGAGAAAACCTGGACCTAGAACAAGAAGTGGAGCAGCTTAAAGAAAGCCATGAGTAAGTATACAAACAATGACCAAAGAACTCTTTTTACATATTTATTTATCTATGGTAGGCCTAAAGCTAGAAGCTACTAAGCCTTTGACCCCATATATGCTCCATACTTAAGGGGTTCTCATTTACCTAAGGTTTGTAATGATAGCCTTTCCTTTGRAATATTAAAACGCTGTGTTTAAATTGTTCCTATTTGCAGAGCAACAGTTGAGACATTTAACAAACAAATAGAAGACTCAAGAGCAGCTTTGAATGCAGAACGAAAAGACAGGTAATTGAATGTCCAGKACGTAAAGAAGAAAAACATACACACTTTTACGTGTTAGTGTTAGAGTAACACAGAGTAATTTTTCACTTCACTTGGCACTTCAATTGAATTTGAATTTAGAAATTGATTTTTGCGGAGGGAGAAAACCAGAGAACCCGGAAAAAAACCCTCAAGGCACAGAAGAGAACCAACAAACAACTCTACTCAAATAAAACACCGAGTTTTGGATTGAAACCGGGTCGCATTGGTGAGACTTGAGCGCCGTCACCGCTACGCGATCCCTGCTTTCCAAAAGAAACCCTTCAAACTTCACATCAACCACCTCTTGTGATTGTAAGCAGTGACGTAGTGAGAGTATCAAAGTTGTTCGGGCGAGCACACGCGTTATGGCGCGAAAATTCCCGCCAAATCCACAGGTAGCCCAAACAAAATAGGAAAATTTACTTGTTTCAGTCAGGGGAGAGGAAGGGGGGATATCCCCTCGCTATGCCCCTAATCGTAAACACATATAGAAACGACACGATATTAATTGCGAATCGTAATCAAGACATAATCAATAGTTTTTACTCAGTGCAGTGTTGTCTCGATGCAAATCGCACAGATTTGTTGACAGGAGTTATAATTTCACATTTCACAGGCAAATTCTMCAAACGAAGAGGGATAACGTTACTAAAGAATCCAATGAACTTAAATCAGACTACGGCAAGTACATGGCGTCCATGTCGAAAAAGGTTTCTGAAGGCAAAGGAGAACATGCGAGACTAACTAACTATGTAAGTACAGGATCAAAAGTACTATWGAATAGAAAATAATACCCGATAATAGTGGTATAGATATTTCTATATGAAAGAGTGCAACAGGATTTTTCATTTCGTTCGTCATTGCAAACAAATTCGTTGTGGTTTTTGTTGTCATATTATCAACGTTCCCATTTTGATCATTATTAATGTCATCAACATCATCATCATCATCAACATCATCATCAACATCAACAACAACAACATCCAGCATCATCATTATCATTTTCATCATCATCATCATCATCATCATCATCAACATCAACAACAACAACATCCAGCATCATCATTATCATTTTCATCATCATCAACATGGACAACTTTGTCATCCATGATTATCATCATCAATGTAATTGCCATCATTTTCACTATCTYGATCATCCAAGACTGAACTACCMTGSMTTAACCAGGTYTTTTTATGCCCTCCATTCTCGCTCTCAGTCCTACTAGGGGGGAAGGGAAAGAAAGATAACCTCTGCTCGTAGGGTAAGACTGGGACTTCCCTTTTATTGGAAGGTGCATTGTATGGCTACTAATTCCAAATTTCGTTCAACTTTTTTTTATTCCTCGTTTGTACAGGGCACACAGCTCCAGAAGGATCTGAAACAAGACGAGATCGATATCATTGATAAACAGAAGCAGCTGAAGAAAGCAAAACAGGATTACACCATCCTGCAGAAAAAACTGAAAAGTGAACTGAAAACATTACAGGTAAAGCCGCCATTATACACGAACTATGAAACTACGTCTACGTTTACTGCGATTTTCACAAACCTTATCAGTCGGTACCTTGTATATTTTTGACTGGCTGCAGCGAAAAACCAAAATTCAGCGTGCAACTCGGAGACACAGAGTTCGCACGTTTATGAAAATCGCAATAAATGCAATAATGAAAATACTGGGTGGTCGTTATCACCAAACAAAACAAAACAAAGATGACGAGTGTATATAAAGTTTCGTGTGTTTGTCTTTCTTTCATGGGTAAATGTGATCTATGTGCCGTCTTAATTCATCTTGTGTTGTATTCTCTTGTGGTGAGCTGTTTATATTAATTGACGTCATTAATGTAACAAAGCTACTATTTGCCCGCTGGACGCCCCATAACGATTTGCGAATCAAGATGGTGGCCGTATCGTCRAAGTGGTTCGCATTACAATAGAAGAGTTATACAACTTAAATCCTCATTAAAAAGTTTGTTTTTCTTCTTTTTGATAACAGGAGAGCATCAGTAGACTGGATAAAGATAAAGAAAGAAAGAAAGAAATAATCGACGATAAAACGGTAAGAATGTACCTTACAACTGCAAGTGACAAACCGTTATTGTTATGTGGGGATTCTGGGTGACTTTGGACAATTTGACAAACAACTGTTTTTTCTCGACAGCCGGTTTTCAAGGATTTGGAAACACAGTTCAGAGAAGCTACAGAAGCCTATGACAAGACAAAGAAAAACATTGTTGGTGAGTAAGATGTTGGGATACTTACTGATATATCATTATCATTATATTATCTGCATCATGCAAGCATCTGCATCATCACATCATCGACATCATATCAGCATCAGCATCATTCAAGCATCAGCATCATTCAAGCATCAGCATCATTCAAGCATCAGCATCATTCAAGCATCATCATCATCATCATCATCCTCAAGCATCAGCATCATTCAAGCATCATCATCATCATCAAGCATCAGCATCATTCAAGAATCATCATCATCAAGAATCATCATCATTCAAGCATCATCATCATCATCATCATCATCAAGCATCAGCATTACCTTCATTATCAGAGGCCTATATAAAAATTACTCCTTCGTAATTTTAGTAGCCCTACCAAATTGTGTACTCTTTTGACATTACCTTCATCGTCTGAGTCTCGTTATTTATTACGCCATGTCACCTACGATAACTTACCATATCGTTTTTCCGTAGATCTTAAAAACAAGAAGGCAAGTTTAGAAACATCAGTAGGTCGAGCGGAAAAAGAAGTGGAAAAAATGGCCACACCACAGGTAAACCAATAGTCTAGTTTATTTCACTGGATGACGGACTCTTGAAAACCAAAGATTTATTGATTGACTGATTTGTATGGTTTCTTCAGACTCGTTTGCGACAGCAGCTCAGAACTAGTCGCACAGAAGCTTTAGAACAGCTGAAGAATCATTCCAAAGACATCCAGGGAATCGAGAAAGAAATCTTCACATCAGGGCAGAAACTTGGCGCTATACTGAAAGAAAACCATAGGTATACCAGCACCTTGAAAAAGGATCCATGTTTATTCTTTTGTTATCGTTTTCCAATGGTTTTATTTGTTATAAAACAAAAGGTTGATTGGGAAATGACTACTTTCAAATGGTTTTAAGAAGCAAGTGTGGTCAAGCTATCTAGCAAGAGCGCGGCCTCAGCCTGTCCATAGTTCRATTCCCACTGATCTAACACACTCATTTTATGCAACTTTTCTCTGATCCATGTACGTTCAGCTTAAAAAACCTTTCAAACGGAGCCTGACTGATGAAAATAATTGGTTGAAACCTCACTAACTTTATTATATATAGTTTCTAAATTGTTCTTCTTTGTTTTCTCTTTTCATCCCTAAAATCTTCAAATCAAAATTTTCAAACTCGTTTTGCTTAAAAATTATTATATACTTATTATTTACTTATCCTGGTTCTTTTTTTTTTTTCTTTTTTACTTCGTTTTGTTGTTGAATTTTAAGACTAAAGCAGGTACGTTATTAATTTGTTGTGAATAATAGTGTTCGGTTACTCCATTCTTTCAGGGTGCATTAGATTTCATCGTATTTCTTTCACCTTTCCCTCCAGGCGATCAAGAAACTAGAGCTTGAGATCAAGACTATTGACTGGCATGTAGGCGCTAATGTAGCTACTAAAGAAGGCCTTGAAAAACAACTTGTTAAATACAGAAGTATGTATTGACCTGAAGTGATATTCTTAGCACGAGTCATACCAACACAACACTCATCACTATTTTAACACCTGGTGGAGTTTGGACTTTCGTAAAAAATACTTGGTTTTTCGGCAAGTTGTTTATTTCTTTTCCACTATCCTTTGGTTTTCACTGCTCACAGCCAATCGAAAGGAGGGCAAAAGCAACGAAAACTAAAGTGACAGCTAGAACGCATCGTGGGGTCTGCGTTGAAGTTGCTTGCTTTCGAAACATTTTGTTTTGGTTTGTTGTTGTTGTTGTCATAATAGGTTCTTGTAAGAGTTGTTTGGAGTTGTTGGCTTTCAAAATAATTGTTTGTTTTGTTTGTTTGTTGTCTGTTTGTTTTTGTTCACGTGTTGTCATAATAAGTTGTAGTTGTAAGAAGTTCTGAAGTATCTGAAGTTCCCACTAAAGTAATCTGTCGTATTTCATTCGATTTGTAGCGTACTTACATGAGGGCTGGAGCGAAGATCTCAAACTCGATGAGGTGAAATACGCTGCGCGCTCAACATGAACGTTCAGGCAAAGTTGCACAAGATCTGTTTCAGTAGCATTGTTTACTAGGCTCAACTTGTGAATGAAATTAGTACGGGTGATCAGTGCTCTGAGAAAACAATGCGATTTGTGTCATTATCGCCAGACATCATCATCAGTAGCAACAGTTTCACCAATGACAATCATCATGAAGATGTATTAGATCATAGAAACCATCACCACCTACATCATGCAAATATATATATATATAATTAGCGTTAACCATGACAATCATGATCAACTGCACATCACAGCGGCCGTCTTGGTGTAGCAAAACAATACTAAATTATTCAGAAACTTTCTATTGTCTGGTACACCAATATGGCTGCCTTGTCACTTGTCACGAAACGCTCTATACCATCAGCAGCAACGATCATGGATGGCAACATTCATCGTTATCAGTAGCAGCATCAGTAGCATCATTCCCCATGCTTATCGCCTATTCCATGATGCATCATTTTTACCTTGTAGGAATACGCAAAGCGAGACCTCAAAATACTAGACAACATTCAGTTGTTGCAGAACGAAACGCAAACAAGAGAAGGAAGGTAAAGACGTCTTYARCCRTTAGGTAACCTGAAAATTTAACCTGATTTTTTTAGTTGACTTCACAAGCTTTTTCCGTTAAATCTAGAATCGAAGGAATTCATTCTCAGTTAGAAGAACAGTTGGTGGTATTAGCTCATTTCATGGATGGAATAGCCAGCTTACGACCCAAAGGTAAGACCAAAATATTTCTCGCTCGTTTTATGGTCTTGCCGTTTCTACCTCCATGGCTGCGAAATCTTTTGTGCCTTCAGACTCCGCAGTACGAAAGGAGATATAAGAGAGAGATCCTCGAGTGTTCAATTTAGATATCTCACTCGTTCACTGCGCTCACTCGTGAGATATCAATTGAACACTCGAAGATAAAATTCGTATCTCCGCGCGCCCATGTAATATCCTCTATGACTTTACTAACTGAAAATTAACAACTCTACTCACATACGACGCCAAGCATTGGTGAAAGGCGATGCATTATGTTAGCAGCGCAAACGACCCGTGCTTCCCTTATGGSCACTGAAGAAATATGTTAACTAAAAAATATTAAGGTGTCTTTTCTCATCGTTTTAGACACGGCACAGTCCGAAAAAAGAAAAAGCAGAGGTTGGTAGATAACTGTCTGGACCCGGTGTNGGGTTTCATACCTTGTGTGTAGCAACCTCCTAAACATCTCAAAAATTACAAAGAAATGTACGGTTACTGGGGACGCTTGTCCCTAGTAAACATGATTATTACTTAAATCAATATGAAAATCTTATATACTCTTACAAAATGTTAACGTAATTTATTTTTTACCCAGCTGAAGGACACAAAGAAGCTGGTGATGCTACGCGTCACGATGTGTCACGTAAGACACCTCGAACATCACGCGAGAAAKTAGCGAAAGACGACACTGAAGCGAGCCCACAAGACGACAAAAAGCAATCAGAAAATAGCTGAAACTAARACTGTGGCGAATTTTTATGTAAAAATATTTATAAAAGGTGTAAATTTTAAGATGACATAATCGCAAAAAAGAATTAATAAATGAATATTTTTATTATAGAGAGATTATATTAAGGACTCAAGTGACGCGCGCGGATATTTTTCGCGCCAAATAAGAATGTCAATCATACGAAATGTGACTTCCGGGTCCAAAATAATTTAAAAAAAAAAACAGTTATGTTTTTTAATTCATCCTTCGAGGATTTTTCCCCCTTAGGAATTTTTCCTCGAAATAAAAAAATCACATCACAGAGCATTTGATACGAAAATTAATGACAATGATTAATAAACAGTAAAAAWAATCCCACTTTCAAATATTGGCAGACATTAAATCACTCTTGATACATCAGTTTCGTATAAAACTTGCACGTCTTCCT